CGGCATTTTGAAGGTCTTGGGTATGGCATGCGGGGCTGCCGCCTTGCTATACGGTTGTTCAATGAATCGGCTGACGTCTCGTTTTGGTAGCAGTTTCGGAGCTACCGGTATCTTAACGACCCTTTCTTGATGTTCTCTCATCTGGTCACGAAATGCATTATTTTCGTTTTCCATTTCTTCCATTTTTTTTAAAATGGCTTCCAGTGCATTATTGCCTACATCAACAATGGTGTGAGTGTTACCTGTTGGGGAAGCTGGTTGCTAATCGGTGATCATTACGACATCTGCCGGTGTGGCATTTTGGTTTGCTTTTTGAACGGGGTTGTCGAGTATGTCATTGAGGGTACTTGTCAGCCACTCCTCCAACAGTTTATTCACTGCCAATGGTGCTTCCTCAGCTGTGGATGTGGAAGCTCCTCTTTCGCGTGAAGCGGTTACGCTTTCATGAGGAGGAGGTGAATCACTCCGCCTTGGCATAACGCTTGGCGTCACATTCTCATTGCCTTTATTGCCATCATCGTTGATGGTGTTCAGAATGTTTGTAGGGACACCTACTATTCCTTTCTGTCTTGCATTTCCTTTTACTGCCATTGTTAGTTTATGCAAAGCGAGGAAAAGATGGTTGTCCCTTTTTACGATCTAGAAAAAACTAAACTTTAACTAAAAAATCCCAACAGACGGCGCCAAATTATTTGACCAAAAAATATTAAGCTCTTTGATTAAATCAATTAATAATGATAAGAAGAGTGAATCTTAGTTACGGATAATAAAATCTAGATCGAATACTAAATGAAGGAGGCAAGATGGATGATGTTAGTTAGTAAGTTTGAGCTGATCAAATGCTCATAAATGCAACAACATGAATGTGCAATAAATATAGATTGATGTGACTTAGCGTAACAAAAAGGGATTTACTTCTCAATAATTGTGAGACTCAAACGATTCCTTCCTCTAACAACAACGTGGAATGAATGGATTAATAGAGAGTTCTGGGATCCTTGGATCTTGCAAATATAGAACCGAAAATGTGAGTTTGAACAAGGTAATCAATTAATAAGACAACTTTTGTATATTCTCAGGTCAACTCTTTGCATAAAAAGTTCTCTTATCAAGAAGTGAAGATCCTCTTTTGTTCTCTATCTCTTCCTATTTATAAGGGACATTCTCCAAAAACCTTAAAAAGTACAAAGCAAGCAATATCCAAAGGAATATTCCTTGTGTCTATATTTGAACTTATGCTACTGTTGTCTCCTCATCCTAGCTGTTCATCTTTGGCATCAACCGTCTTGAGAGCAACCCTCAGTTGTTATACCATGGTCGACCCCGTCCTTTATCTTACTTATACATTACCACCGATATGCCAAATTTGGACCTATATATCCAGTTTCAGAGGTGGATCCAGAATTATAAGTTTATGGGTTCTTACAATGATATCAAGTTAATATACAATAATATTTGAACTTCGGTTCGTTGGTCCGATTATTTTTTATAAAAAAATCATCGGACCAACAGATTAAGTTCCGAGCTAAATATTATTATACATTTAATGAATTTTTCGCAAAATACAGGATCTACACAAAAATTATTGTGTCCACGTGAACCCATAACCTTTATAATAGATTCGCAACTGGTCACAGAATTGAACAGAGACGAGGCTAAAATTTTGAGTTTATAGGTTTTGAATTTTAAAAGAGGCATTTTGCTGCAATTTGGATTACTTATCTTTTCATACTAAACTATTGAGTTCTGCTGAATCTGTACACAGGCTTATGGTGCCGCCTCTGACTGAACTATACAATTAGTTCATTTGTAACTCCAATTCAAAAAAAAAAAGAAAAGAAATGGGAACATAACAATTTTTATTTGTGTTATTACCTTGTCTCGATTTTGATCTTTGTACATATTTAACCTTCTATTAAACAGATGAGCGATTAATGGCCCAATCGCTGGCGGAACTTAAACGTGCAACAGACCATTTAATACTCTTGTATTTAATTTAGGTATATATCATATCATATCATATCATCATCACATAGTTACATCACACAATATTATAAGCATGAAGATTAAAAATTTGAATGTGAAAGACCAAAATAACCCTATACTATTATTGGACTTTTATGCCCTTAAAGTTATTTTGATAATACCTTCAATATTAATAACAAAAGTTAGTTTTGTAACATTAAATTTGACTTGGGGATTATCAAAGAATTTAGTAAGGTCCATGTATCTAAATTCTTCACTTTACAAAGTAAGCTCTTTAACTTCAACGTATAATAATTTTTTGAGCTAACATTTACAGTTTTTAAAAAATCAAATAATTTTTTTGAGCTAACATTTTATCTTCTCCTTTTATTTTTCTTAGCTTGAATAATTAGATTGTTATTAGAAATGATTGCTAAGCGCAATCTTTTTCTTATAAATACAATCATGATTCAAAGCGTTTTACCATCAATGTACAAGACGATATAATTTTTTTACTAATTATACCCACACATCAGAGGCGAATCCAGGATTTAAAGCTTATGGGTTCCTATAAAGACCTTAAGTAAATATACAATAAGTAAATGGGTTCACAATCAAATATTTATGAATATTTAGTGAATTTTTTTAATACATATACAGGGTATATGCAAAAGCTACTGGGTTCACCGGAACCCACATTCAATAGGCTGGATCTGCCCCTGACACACACACACACACACACTCTGTCTCTCCTTTTTCATTTATGTGAATCTATTTGAGGAGTTTAAGAAAAAATAGAAGATTTTTGAAATTGTAATATAAAATAAGACATATTTGCATAAATTAAATTATTTCTAAATATGGAAAGACGTTATTCTTTTTAACACGGATATTCCTTGAGCAAAATCAGATATGTAGGGAAAGAAGAAAGGTAAAATGAATTCCTTAATTCGTCTAGTACTTGCAATGAATATAATGGAATAGAAGTTTAATGCTAGCAGTTCAGTTTTTATATTTGCTCTATTGATTTAAGACAAGCAGTAACTAGAATACTTAAATGAAAATTCACATGTCTTAAGTAAATTCTGAAGCGAATAAACTATAAAAACTTCATAAATTTCGCATTATCTTTTAAAATGGGTCGTAAAACGGCTATTTGTACACTTCGCCCACTCTCTACAGACAACAGGCCCGAAGTATACACGATCGAGCATTTTTTTACTAGTATTTAAGAAAATGATACTATTCTTTGTTTATTTCATATATGGCAGATTCTTTTAATAATACTAGCATATGTAAAACGGAAAAGGGTTCAAAATGCCCCTAAACTATTGGAAATGGTTTAAAAATACCCTTCATCCACCTATTGACCTAAAAATACCCCTTCATCCACCTTTTTGGTTCACGTATGCCCTTTGGCCGTTAGGTCAATGCTGAATTAAACATAACTATTATTCTTTTTGTAAAACTTAAAAAAAAAATATTTCACAAAATATTTTCGTTTTTTTAAACTAATGCACCAGTAATCCCACTAATTTAGTAAAATCTTCTTTTTTTTCTTTTTTCAGTTTTTACAAAAAACAATTCAGTTTTTACAAAAAAAAAAAAAAATCATTTTTTTCAGTTTTTTCAAAGCATTTTTTTTCTATAAACTGGAAAAAAAAATTGTAAAATCAGNATTGTAAAATCAGAAAAAATGTTTTTAATAAAATATTTTCATTTTTTAAAAACTGAAAAAATATTTTAAACAAAATATTTTCGTTTTTGAAAAATATTTTTTTCTTTCTTTCAGTTTTTCTAGAAAAAAGAAAATATTTTTTCTTTTAAAAAAAAAACTGAAAAACGAAAATAAAACGAAATGTTTTAAAAATACTGAAAAAAATGAAAAAATTTCAAAAACGAAAATATTTTGTTGAAATTTTTTTTTTCAGTTTTTGAGAAACGAAAATATTTTATTAAAAATATCTTTTTTTCTGTTTTTACAATTTTTTTTCAGTTTTTACAAAAAAAAAATGCTTTAAAAAAACTGAAAAATATATTTTTTTTTTGTGAAGACAGAATTATTTTTTGTAAAAACTGAAAAAAAATAAGAAGACTTTACTAAATTAGTGGACTATTGGTGCATTAGTTTAAAAAAAATAAAAATATTTTGCAAAATATTTTTTTGAAGCTTTACAAAAAGAATGATAATAATTTTAGTTTAGCATTGACCTAACGGTACAAGGGCATAAGTGAACCAAAAACGTGGATGGAGGGATATTTTTAGCTCAATAGGTGGATGAAGGGTATTTTTAAACCTTTTTCTAGTTTAGGGGCATTTTAAACATTTTGCGTATGTAAAACTAATGTGTGCAATTAATGAGTAATACAAATCATGGGATCCGTTTTATCCTTATCTACTTTTTAACATTCTCTCTCCTCCTCCTTTCTATCTTAGTGCCTTAGATTTAGCATTCAAATCTATCTCTCCTTTTCTATTATGAATTTATGTCCTTTATTTTAACATTCAAATATTCTCTAAATATTTCTATTACTCCAAATATTTATATATATGGTATAATATGTATGTATATATATAAATAAAATATATCATGTACATTATTTATACATATATTATACCAAATATATATGTATTATTTATTCCTATATTATAAAAACATAATATGTCATATATGTATTATTTATTCCTATATTATACCAAATATACATGTCCCATTGGTCCAATTTTCCTTTAAAATAAATTAAATAAGCATCAAAATTAGGATGAATCCCCAATTTGAGGCGTGGGAAATAGGCTTCAAGACATTTCCATGCATTTTTCAAGGGATTGATTGAGATGAAAGTGGGATTTATTTTAAGGTAAGTTTTAAGAAATGTAATTAATTAGTTGCCAGTTCTGTTAATTAGTATTTGCTGCTAGGATTCTGCAGTATTTTCTTAAATATTGCCTATTTATGTTTTTTCCTCTTAACGGGCCTAAAGTAAAAGCCCAATATATTTAGTCTTTTAGGCCCATCCTTAACAAGCCCAAAGCGCTCCTCTACGCTCAAAAGTCTTACCTCCTCCAATCTCAACTCTCTCTCTCTCTCTCTAGACTGTAAAATCCACCATTATCGTTAGGGTTTAAGACCTCATTCTTACACTCTCTTCTTCATAAACAACATGACAACCTTAAACCCTGTCTGTTCCAAAACAAACCAAATTCACAAACAATTCCTACATTATCAACGTCCAATTTATGCTAAACCCATTTCTTGTCTCTCTTTTAGAACACCACCCCCACCATTTTCCACCTCTTTCTTCTCCATTAAAGCCTCCTCTTCTCAAAACCCTAAACCCATTATCCCTCAAAACCCTAATGAAAAATCTCAAAACCCGTTCTCATTCCTCAAGCCGACACTCGTTGCTACAGTTACTACCACTGCCCTTATCTTTTCAAGATTCTATTTTTTCCCGAAACCTTCAATTTCTGCTCAGAATTTTGCTCCTCCTTCTGCTGCTGTGGAAACTGATGTGGGAGAAGCAGTTTCAGATGAGGAAAGAGAAAGGGCAATTGAGGAACACTTGGTTTCGAACCCGGATGACGTGGAAGCATTAAGGAATTTGATGGAAATTAAGATAAAGAACAAGAAAATGCTTGATGCTATTAGCATTATTGATAAGTTGATTGAGGTGGAACCGAATGAGTCCGAATGGCCATTGATGAAATCCCATTTGTATGTTAACATTGGTGAGGTTGAATTGGCCAAAGTTGGGTTCAATGAGATATTACAAAAAGACCCTTTTCGTGTCGAGGCGTATCATGGGCTGGTTATGGCTGCTTCGCAAGATGAATCGATTGAAGATTTGAAGGGGATTGAGAAAAAGATTGAGGAGGGGATGAAGTTGTGTAAGAAGGAGAATAAAAAGAGTGACTTGAGGGATTTTAAGCTATTGCTTGCACAAATCCGAGTGATCGAAGGGAAATATGAAGATGCATTGAAGGTATACGGGGAGTTAGTTAAAGAGGAGCCTAGGGATTTCAGGCCTTATTTGTGTCAAGGGATAATATACACATTGTTGAGGAAAAGCAGCGAGGCTGAAAAGTGTTTCGAGAAGTATAGAAGACTTGTACCACAAGGGCATCCCTATGCTAGGTATTTCGATGAGAATATGATCGCAACAAAGGTTTTCGCACAGAAGGTGGAGAATGAGAGAGCTGGGTCGAAAAGTTGAATCGAATAAGGGTTTGGTTCAGTTGAAGTTCAAGACTGGATGATAGAGGTATGGTGGAAAATGGTTTGCTTTATATGTTATTAGCTTGATAATGGTTTTAGCTTACTAGATGTTTCGATTTAGTTTGTGTGCTTTGCATAGATTGGTTGTTCTATCAGTTATGGATTAGCTATTAGGGTCAGAAAAGGAAAATTTTTGTAAGTGAGGAGAATGGTGCTCAGGCTCGTTGATTATCAGCAGGTTCTTGAATGATGTAATATCATAGTTCATTTAATCAAGAATGAAAGGGTGAATTATGCTTTGTGATTTTGTCTTAGTACTTTTGAAATTTCTAACAATGTGCTTGATATGAGTTGTCCTTATCCAAAAAAAACGTGCTTTATATGTGTTGTGACTTTGAGGTGGAAGACACAGAGACTGCATGTGAAATTTTGCTGCTATAGAGTAACAGATATGTAAAGAGCAGTTTGAGGAATGACTCTGCTTCATTGTCAAAGTTCCGGTTTTTTCCATCCATAGTTGAATGTTCTGGATTCGGTTTTAGTATGATCTCATCAATAAACCTTACCCTGTGTGTTTTAGTGAATTTTTGTTTAAACTTCACTTGGTCCTTCCATTCCGAAGATAACTAGTTTTGAACCATTCTAACCATCAGTGCTTTAGAATATTTCTTTATGGTGTTTTGTTGTCTGATAAAACATGTACCATACCGCCACATTTGATCATGTTACATGGTGTCTGGTGCGGGCCCAATGCCCTTTTGAAAATCCGAAGGGCTGAGTGTCGTCCACGCCCGGTTGTATTCATAACCGCACCAGATCTCCAAGGGGAAAAAGTGAAAACTCACTGTCTCGAAGGTTTAACTTTGTTTTGACAAGTCGACCTTAGAGATAAATAAACATGACCCATGACCGCAAGGTCGGGTCTAGATCCTTATCCTTGTAGAGATGCGAAAGAGGTTTGCAAGAATACTAGGTTAGCGAGCACAATTTGAGATGAGCAGGCATTTTTGTTACTGCAGTTGTTTCCTGGAAAATGTGTTGGATGTTCCTAAGCAGTTATTATGTTCTTGCCTCGAGTGTTGTCAAAGGAGCGCTTAAAGCGCACTTAAGCCTTAAAGCGAGGTCCGAAACATGTTGAGCGTTTCTCCTCGCTTTAGGGCGCTTCAGTGTCATCATCGAGGCTCACTTTAAGGCATACTTCCCCTTGCCAGTGAGCGTTATCCAAAGAGCCAACATTGAACAGTTGATATTTCACTTTATTCTAGTTTTTTTTTTCTTCAATTTTTTTGTCCATAGATTTGTTATTCATATGTATGATATATTTTTGTATTTTCTTCTTCATTAAAGCCCACATTTTATTTGCGTTTTGCGCTTAAAGCCCCAATGGACCATAGCGCTTTTTACGCTTTTCGCCTTTGATAACACTAGACTTGACGTGGCTTTGTGTGGATAGCCACCTTAAATATGTATTGTTCTTTCTTGTCTTGCAGTGTGTTTATGCTTGTTTTATAGTGGTCATTGTTCAGTTTAAATTTTGCACAACTTTGTTGTTAATTGAGTTGTAGCTCAACTTGGCACTGGCTGCAGATCTTGTTTTCCTTGCCGGTTTAGCCTTCATCCTAGGTACTGCTTTTTTTTTTTTTGGATTATTTATCTGTTTGTGAATCATCTTTGTGGTTTTACTTTTGTATTTTGATCAATTGACATAAAATAATACTCATGGAATTATGTAGATCATGGAGTCCATTGATGATATTTCCTTTTTGCTGTCCGGTATTTATTTTATGTAATGAAGTTTGCTATTTTAGCTTAGGGTCTATCAGAAACAGTCTCTTTGCCTTTCCAGGGTGGGGGTAAGGCTGCGTACATCCTACTCTCCCCAGACCCTACTTATGGGATTACACTGATGTTGTTGAATGAAATTTGCTATTTAAAGGGACAATTCATTTCACTGTTGAATCCCGAAGTTAAGCTTGATGTTTCTTCTCACTACCCCTTTGGATAGAGAGTTTTGGCGCTATCTATTTAGAATTCATATACTACATTAGTTTTTGTGTGCTCCCTATGTTTTTTCTTTTACATGACAATGATTGACATGTTAATATAATTTGAGTACTTTTTGTAGGCAGTGGAAGAAATATTTGAAAAGTTACTTTAATACAGGACATTGAATCAAATTTTAAAGGGGTTTTGACACAGCTACCCACAAAAATAAAACTATTTACCCTTGTCTACGTATTTGTTTTTCTACCCATAAACTAATTACATTTCCTACCCATAGTAGTTTTTGTGGAGAATTTTTTCTTTATTCTCCAATTCTTTTTTGTTTCTATGCTTCTTTTCTTCTTTTTTTCTTTTTTTTTTCTTTTCTGCTTTTCTTTTTTCTCGTTTTCTTTTTATTTTTTTATTTTTTCCTTTTCTAATTTCATTTAACTTCTTATTTTTTTATATTCTTTTTCTCTTCATAATCTAATTTCATTTACCATTTTCACTATTTTTTTATTATTCTTTTTTTATACAATAAGAAAAATAATTGATATAGTAAATATTTGTTGACCTTTTTTTAATATAACTAGTACAATATACCTTTTATTCTATTTTTTAAATTCAATTATAAACTGAAATAATATCAGTTGTCACTTGATCTAATACACTGGATATCACATTGACTGCTGTTGAGCATCATAAATTACATAATCAAATTCTAAGAATCAACACGTGGTTGCCATGCAAACCTTGATCTCCTTCCCTATAAATATCAATACACACTCTACCATTAGCAGTAATACAACCAGTTATAGAGCAAGAAAACATAATCTACGGCAACCAAATCTCCATATATACTAGTTAGAATAAAAATGATAAT